CCTTTGAGGTTGACATGGAATGGCTTCGGGCGCACGTCTCGGTCGATGGCTGGGGTTTGACGTGGCTTGATTTATGCGCTTCTTGGCGTGCAGGTCGCCCAGGATGGAAGAGGTTGGTGCAGCAAGCTACTGTCAAGTATGTCCTGGTGAAGAAAATGCTTCACTCACAAGCACCTGCATCTGTTCCGGGGCATAATGCAGCTGCGGATTGTGACGCTTTTGAATGTCATTGTGGGGCTAGCTTCACTACCTCTAGAGCTCTTCGGAGTCACCAGGTGCACTCACATGGAGTTCGTGCGCCAGAGTACAACATGTTGCGGCATCCGTGCTGTCCAGTATGCCTCCGCTTTTTTTGGACTTTGCCACGGGCCCAGGCCCACCTGAGATACTTGTCGAGATCAGGAGCCCCCAACCTGTGTTTCGAATGGTTGAGAGTTACTGGCTTTGTTGATCTTTGGGATTGGGTTGTTGGTGAGTTTCCGGACTTGCCGGGCATCAAGCGGCGAGAAGCTTTGCGGCTTTATGGACCACACCCTTGTGGAGCCTTTGCTGGGGATGTTGAGGCCCTTGAAGAGGACTTCATGGAGTGTCGAAAAAGTCTCAGGGTTGACGGCGTTATCTTCCCTTTGGAGGAGGATCTGCGTGAGCGATGCTTTGAGGTCTTTGAGACTGTTGTGGCCTCGTGGATGGATGGCATGCCTGCCATCCCCCCCACAAGTCGAGGGGGTGGCGACTGGTTGCGCTACTGCTGCTTTGTTTCTTTGGGGGATGCAGTTGAAGGATAGGCCTTTGGCCGAGCTTTGGTTCATGCAGACTTTGGCAAACCATAGTGCTGGAGAGACCCTTCGACGGATGCATAACCTTGCTGTTTGGATCCAGCAACTACGGAAGCTGGATGGTTGCGAGCCGCACCGAGAGCGGTATGCTGGTCCTGCGAATCCTCGAGAGCGTCATCTGAGGGACCTGAGGATTAGTTACTCCTCTAGTGTGCAGTTCGGTGAATGCAGGTTGTGTGTGCGTGACACTCCGTTGTCACTACTGCGCACCTTGGCGGGGTCCTAGGCTGAGATGGCCGGATCCTTAATTTAGCTTTTCCCCCTGCTAGGTCATGAGGTATCACCTCACAAAGGCTGTAAATGAAAAAAAAGTTGGTTCTCCTTGCATAAAGCTGCTAGATTGAAGTTCAAGCCAATAGTATAACAAACCATTTAAGTCGTCGAAGCAAATATCGCTCTCACCCTTTTCCAATGGCAATCTCTCTCATCGCCATGATGACTCGGCGGATATGTCCTTTTCACGGTGACGTGCAGCCGTCTTTGTCCAAGTCTCGAAGAAGGTGTTTGCCTTGGGAGAGCGAAGATGAAGGGATGAGATGTTCCTTTCCTGACTGGTGCGACGAGTCGAGGGAATATGGAAATGGATCCAGAGGGGCCAGGCCGACAGGGTGGTTCATTCATTCATTCCCTACTTTCGTCGCACGAGTCTGTTTCTTTGATGAATGGGGAAAACGTCGGAAAACGACGGTCAAAACCAGAGCAGTTGGACCCCCTGAAAAGAGCCCCAACAACACTCCCTGCAACCGATGGAGGTGGAAAACCTCCATGTTTGTAGAGGACCATGGTCATCCACGGGGCCATGCCACGTCACCGGGATGCAGTCCATCCCTTACCGCCCTCGAAGGGAGCTGAGCAGCGGTGGAAGGGGAGGGCAGCCGGACACCCCCAACCTAGGGATCATGGTGTTCATTTTCACGACCCCACCCGGCCCCACCCCTGCAGATCTTTCTACAAACAAGAACTTGCTCGGGAGAAGGGGTCAAGATGGGGTCAAGATCTCTGAAAACATCTGAAAAAAAAACATGTACGGCGGATTGGCTCGTTTTGGATCAGGTGCAGGTGTGATTCAAGCCTACCGGCAAAGTGCACAGCAATCCCCCTGGCAAGTCAAAAGGAGATGGCTGATGTTGGTGGTGTTTTGGTCCGCACCTGGGCCTCACCACGGGACGTCTTCATCACATGTCCTTGGATTGGTTGTTTCCGATCGCAGGCCCTCGGCTCAACTGTCCCCGTCCTCAACCCGCGCGGTCCTGTCCTCCATGCCTTCCATGTCGAAGCTGTCCGCTGCTGCGACGGCCACCGCCGCCGTGTGGGGCGCCAGCGCCTTCGTGGCGCCGGGGACGAGCAACTCCCTGCGGGGCCAGGGAGCTAGCAGTGCAGGAGCGAACCGGAGTGGTGTAGGGACCCGTAGGGACCACAGGTGCTGGAGGATAGCTTTACAACAGCACCGCAGCTCTTTTAGAGTGGATTTTACAATTCGGAGATTTAGGTTTGGTTGTTGTTAAATGTCTAAACTGGTGACCTGGTTTTCTGGAGTCCACACAAACGAGTGCTGTTTTCCAAGGATTCCGATAACCATTAGCATTGCTTTACTGGGAGATTCTTTAAATGTAACAAGCAGGAATTTCATGTACCTGGCGGCATTAGACTACAAGCCTCGGCTTCCACATTGATGTCTTTTTTGATCTTGGAAGGTTGAGAAAAGACATTCACAAGATGCGCGCGCCCCCACACTGAGACACTTACACACGCTTAGGAAGAAGCTCTGAGGGCGATTCAGTGGGTTCAGTTGGTGCTTTGAATGCAATCTAGTTGGTGCAAGACAACCTCGCAAGCCTGTCAATGGCCCTGAGCAAACGGAAAGGTGTTGACCTCAATCCTCGACAGGACGTATGAATTCGGTTGAAATCTGCAAGCTGTTGGAGAAATCGAACTGTTTGCGCATGCAGATTCCCAAAGAGAGTCCACAGATGGATCTGCAAGAGACTGTTCCTTAAACATTGTCAGGTTGACATATAGTAGGATATATGCATATGCATCCACATGCATAATCATTATCAACCTATTGTGCCCCTTGTTTTGGCCAATGACTTATTCAGGGACACCCTCAAGTGCCAGAATTGCGGGCAGGCATCTTCCTAAGCAGATGAACGCTTGCTTGCAAGGGGTCTATATAGGGAGCCAACCTAAGTGGAGGTGTCGCTCCGAGTTTCTTCTCCCCATTTCACACCACTTCTCTGCCCACGCCCCACCACTCTTGCATCGCTCGTGCGAGGAGCCCAGCGCTCGATCGCCAGCGGCTTGGCCTCCACCGGAGCTGTTGGCTTGGCCGCCCTGGCTGCCGCTGGCTTCGCGGCCCGTCCCGCTGCCGCCGGCCGCACGGTCGTGCGCGCGTATGTGCCTCGGTGTTAGGTGCTGTGTGAAATGGGTGGGGCATGGTGAGACAAATCGCCTTTTTGGGCATGAGGCGTTTTCATGGCGTAAAGCTCAAGAATCTCTTTCCAGGATGCAGGAGGTGCTTCTGCAGGGGTTTGCTCCATAGCGTTCTTCAGATTGATGGATCAAGGGAACCAATGGAGATGATGCTGTTGTACTCCTGAAAGAAACCACTTCACAGGCGAAACATTGCCTATAGATAGGCGATATGCACCACCGTCGAAGCCCCCACAACCTAAGCAGCCTTCAATCAGCTAGGTGGCAGGACCGAACGACCAGGTCGCCAGAGGTCCCTAGGCAATGACTGTCCTATCTGCATCTATATCTTCCCTGGAATGCAACAGAAAGCACTAGATGCCCATACGGAGTGCCTAGAAACCACCCAATCTCAAAACGACGCCCTCACTGTGGTCCGCCGCGGTTGCCACGGTCGTGCACATCAGGATGCCTCCAATGAGATCGGCGCCTGCGATCCTTTGCTCTTCTGGGACCCCATCGGCTGCTGGGTAGTAGTGACAGGAGCTGGCTCCCGTGGAAGTAGTGACAGCAGCAGTGCTATATCAGTTTGCAGTAGCTAGTATGTTAGCAAGTGGAGCAATAGAAAGCCAAAGAAGCACCAGGCATAGGAGTAGAAGTAGGACTAGGTCGCGCTTGTTGTTGCTGTTCCTACAAGGACTCAGAACGGGAGTTTGGAGTATGATAACGACTTGGTTTCCCGTTTGGTGATGGTAGTCTTTGTAGTTTCAACAGGCGCTCCTTCCCTGCAAGTTCAATACAGCTTTTCCTCCTTGGCATTGGAGGGTAACATCAACCTGCTTACTCGTCGGCTTTACACGTCCGCTGTGTCGGTGCAACGTGTCGTCACATGCGTCTTCGTCTTCTTTGGGACGTATGACTCCAACGGTCCCAGGGTCGGGCGACGAGATACTCCTTCTCGTGGTCGATGGTCACCGGTTTTCTGTCTGTCTGCGATGAAAGCGCCTGAGGATGGCTGGATCAAGGGATGCTCGTATTCTGGGACGTAGTATTCCCTACGAGGAGTCGCACATGGAGATAATTAACTTGCCACCTCACCTCGACCGTCCAAAACAACACGCCCGACCCGCAACAGACACGCCGACACCGAGCTGGGAAGTCGTGCTCAGGCTACTGCGGTGGCGACTGCACCAAGCAGGACTTCGACCGCCGCCGTGCCGTCGAGCTGAAGCACGGCCGGATCTGTCACTGGGACGGATGAGGCGGACGGTGGGCGAGCTAGGCTAGGTGACGGGACGAATGTCCCACTGGGTTTTAATGCAGATTGGCAGATTGGCGAAAAGACTGCGAACACCTAGTGGGGGTCAATGTAGGCACCCCCATTCATTCACGGGTGACGCGAAAAGACTCAGGTTGGTTGGCTGGCTTGTGGAGGCCAACGTACTTCAAATTTTGTGAGCTAGGCTAGCATGAACAGAAGAACAAGTGTACAGGATGGAGAAACATCCACTGCTAGTGTCAGTCAGTCAGTGACATGGTCCATGGTGTTTTTTCAACCTACTTTGTTCTTAGCACCTGCAGACAATCTCAGAGATGCCTTTCAATCCATCGAGCTCTAGCCAGCAGCTTCCAGTTGTTTGGCTGTCGATCTTTGACACCCTCCCCCAGCAACCGCGCAACCGCCCGGTGCCACCGTTTTGACTGTTCCCATTCCCCCGTGCCGAGACGAGCGTGTTCGCCCCAATTTGAGGCATGTTCGCCACCATCGGCATGCTTTGGCCTGACATCTTCGGCAAGTTCGACGGTACCTCGACGCCTCGAAGATCGGTGGAAATCGGAGAAGACCACTGGAGAGGATCCGTCGAGTCTGAAGACCAATGGGTGGACATTGTGTACCGCTTAGAAGATGTTGAGCCATATCAGATCACATTAAATCTCATGTGTGACCCATCAGCAAGCTTCAACCGGGGTCAATTGAGACCTTCAGGTTTAAAATCCTCGAAGGAGGAGACTCTTCTTAGAGTCCAAGCTACGCGCTTTTTGTCGAATCTGCGCTGGCCGGAGCGGGTAGATTATATAAGATGATCAACCTTTGCAAGTATATAGCTTGTTAGCCCATGTTGGCCCTTTTTCCTGGGTTAGGTTTATAAGACAAGAGAGGGCCAGCACGTTCACTTCTTTCCAGGCATCAATCCGAGACTCGATTTCAAAACATGTCTATAATAGACTTAATAGATCTGATAATTGTCCCTTTTCTTTCCCATGTTGTTTTCCCCCTCCACCATGGCACAGGGCCAAAAAAAACCTCTTCCGATTGGTCGGTCGGATCATCCCGCTCGCACGACACTCGCACGACACTCGAAGGCTACCTGAGCCCCTCGCAGAACCTGAAGTTCGCCGACGTGCCCAGCGGCCTCGCCGCCATCAGCGGCTCGGGCGCGAAGGTGGAGCGAAGTCCGTGGGTTGAGACAAGGTGAGTCGTTGAACTGCCAAAAAGAAAAGGTGGAAAAGACTGACAGAGTGGAGGTTTCTATCACTCTTTGGATTTTGTCCTTGAACCGTGAAAGAGGTGATTAAGGCAAGGAAGCAGCAATGAGCCGTTTGGCTACGCAAAGTGTCTTTTTGTATAGATTGAGGCATTCATCCGTCAGTCTCGAAGCAAATGACCTCGACGATTGCAGTGTGTTGGTGGCGATATTTGTTTCCCCAAGGTGCCCTGAATTCCATTAGTTGTCACCAGTGGACTCAGGCCACGCATTGTAGCAGGTATTGCAGTTGTTCCAAATGGTAAAACTCAAGACCTTGCATCGTTTGTAGAGCCATTCGACCCTACTAGGATGGGCCCATCCTGTAAGGGTTCTTCAACCTGCGTTGGATACCGGATGACTTGACGACCGAGTCTCATGCGCGCCAGCGGAAGACCGGCTGAGGCAAGGTGCCATTGGAGGGTTGGCTGCAAGTGCTCTTGGCGTCTCGGTCAAATCGGGCAGCTGGGCAGGACGAGGAGAGCAAACGGCTGCTGAGGTGGTGGTTTCAGATGCTTTTTTCAGCAACTTGGGATGAAACCACCTACCCCAAGTCACTTCTATTTGTTTCAAGTGATTTGAAACCAACCAGGCTGGGATCAACTGATCAGTTGTTGGGTCAGAGGCTCACCTGCAGGCCTACCCAGCCTGGTCACCTGTTTTGGGAGGAGTGGTTTAGCCTACGGAACAGCTTCTTTGGGTTCAGTTGGGCATTGTTGCTTAGAACTTAGAGATTTGGTTTGGTCACTCTTCATGACCTTCAGCCCTTGACAGTTGTAATAGGTTGCTCTCCCTCCAAACACATGTAAAGTTTGATAGAAGTTCCTCTTCAAATGTGCAAGAGCTGTTTGAAGTTCAAGTGTGAGGATTGATGACTATAGACTATAGATATTTAAGCTGTTTGTCTTCAACCTTCTAAGGGCCAAAAGGTCTGAACGCAGCACTTGGTTCAACGAAGTGGTGCCACTCATCGGTCCGGTGTTAGCCACGTGCCAAGAAGTTCCGTGGTCTGGTCCATTGTGAGTAGACGTGTTGGCACCAACGGACGCTTCTTGTTCCTAGTAAGGCCAGGAGCCCCTAGTAGCTTCTTGTTC